ATTAAATTTTTTGTAGTTTTTTGTTTTTCTTTGTAAAAATAAAATAAATTTTTATAAATTTGTAGTTTTTTCTAGTTTCTTATCCACATTTTTCTTTTTTTATTTTTTTCATTGTGTACCGTAATATATTTCGATTAATTTGACTGTTTTATTCGTCGCACTTAATTAAGGCAGCGGGTGTTCTGTGTTCCCTTCTCATAGCCACATATATTCCTACACGGAATACGGAATTATTCAAATCGCGGGCATAGCGGTCGGTAGACAACAAAAACGCGTCTGAATGGCTCGTCCGGCTCGTTTCCATAACGATAATGACGATAATCGGTTGGCTACCGACCAACCAAACACCAAAACACACACCACGCACTAAAAATATACTCAAAACACCTTCAAACACCTCAAATCACATAAAAAACACTAATTAAAGTTACATTTAAAGTTTATTTTGTATCATGTGATGAATAGCGGTCTAAAAATTACAAAAATATGATTTTTTGTATTATTTTGATGATAACTCAGAAACAAGGTGCGATAACGCAAAATTTTTTTTATAGATTTATTCTAGATAAAATTTTTGATTATATTATGAATAAACAAATCAATTTTTATTAATATTTAAGGAGTTATAAAGGAAAAATGACAGTTATTTAAATAATAAAATTATTTGAATTAATTTTACTATAACTTTTTATGCAATAATTATTTTGACACAAATTTTGCATGATTAGATAAAGAATTTAATGGAGAATAATTTGTTAAAAATTTTAACACAAATAATTCATCTATTAAAAAGCTATTAATAATTAAATACGAAATTAACTGATTTTGTAAATTTTAGACCGTTATTCTTCACTTAACACATTTTTGTTTAAAAATTTCAAAATTTCTGCGTTTTTTTGCTTTAAAAACGTAAAATTTTAATTAGTTTTATGTTTAAAATGTGAAAAATCACATCGCCACGCTTGACTGTCGGTGATTTAACCGCCGTAACCCTTTTGGCAAACTTCATTATTTCCAAAGTTCTTCGCTTAAATTTCGGCCGTGCTTTACTCGTCATTTTATGTTCCTCGCGGCTGCGAACAAAAGAATCACAGATCGTTTCTCGCTCGGCTTGCATTTCGGTTGTTGTTGTTTCTTGGCGTTCGTTTTTTTTTTGTGTATTTCGAATGCGAATTTGTGGATCGATTCGGGATTTTTTGCGCGCCTCGGAGATTTTATACGCTGCGCGCGTTTAAGAACGCGTAAATCATAAAAAGCGAAAAAACGCTTTAAAAATTCCATTTCGAGCCGGCCGAGAATAACGATCGTAAGCACATTTTTCATTTTTTCGCGCCAACCACTCTCGAAAAAGCCCTCAACTCTTAAAAGCACCAAAATACTGATGCATTGCATCGCGTTGCGTTAAAAAGAACGACCAGTTTTTAATTACGTTGCCAAAATTCTTCGACTTCTTCTTCGTTCTCTCAACTCTGTTTCGTTTATGTGTAGCGTTTATTTTTTTTTCGTTTTGTGTGCCGCTCAAGTGCGCTTTTGTTCGTTTATGCATTTGTTTCCCCGCGAGAATTTTTAATTCCCGCTCCGATTTGTCCGAGACGTCGGCCCGCATTTATATCGGCATATTATTAATTTGCCGATGCGTCCATAACGCCGCAAAAAGCGCATGTGGACGAATTAAAAATTGCGCGCAGCTGGAAAAAACGAATAACTACCGAATACCGAATGTCAAAGAATACTTTTTCGATCGTTCGTTGCTTCATTCTTTGCGATGTTGAGAAGAAAAGGGTTTTAGTGCTTTTTGTGCGTTTAGGACGCTTTGTCGGCGGCGGAATTTGCCGAAATTTGATAAAAAGTCGCACAATACTGCAATTATTATCGTCGATTTCGATGGAAAACAAAAACGTCGAAAATGCATACAAAAACAAACATTTTAAAACATCAAAAATGACGAAATTTATTTTTTTCAATTTTTTGAAATAAAAACCGTGAGAACGTGAGAAAAAGGCTTAAACTTTGAAAATACCCCTTAAAACTCAAAGGGGTGACTTTTTACGATGTTTACCCTTTTTTGCCCCGTAGCATTACTTTTGCTTTCACACATTTCTTTAAATCTCAAAAATACCTTCTTTGGAACACATGTGCGAAAAATCTTTGTTTCCGTCGAAAAAACGCCAAAGAAATAAAAAATAATAATTGAATATCGAATTACTACCTGGCTAACCCTATCGGATTTCTTCAGGTAGACGCGACACACATGGCGTTGCGCATGTTGTGCATATTGTGCAAACAACCCTTCATCCCTTTTCACCCTTTGCTGCTTTTTTTGCGCAATCCTTGGGAACTGTTGGGAATCGTGCGGAATTTAAAAAAGTGAAAATAAAGCAAATAAAGGTGACACACGATTTGAGGTAACCAAACCCCTTTTCAGCTGTATTATAATCATCCCTTAAGAAATTTCAGATATCAGGTAGAAGTTTTAAGCGGAAAAAAATTTGGAAGAAAAATGAATATGGTAATGGTGTAATACGATCGCAGGTAAAATTTGAATTTAGGGATGAAACTGGAAATGAAGAAATTTTGACAAAAAACGTTCACACACAAAGTTGAAAAATTGGTTTAGGATAGGGGATGATCACGAATCCACCAACAAAAATCAACCCTCTAAAAACTTTTTTAAAAGTTTTTTAGAAAAAAATTTTAAAAAAATTGTTTGTTTATAAATTTTGTTTTATTTTCATTAATATAAAACAAAATTTTAATTTTTAGAAAAATATTTTCAGAAAAAAAATTTTTCGAAATTTTTTTCTAAATTTTTGCTAAAAATCAATTTTTTTCCAAAATTTTGCAAAAAATCAATTTTTTCCCAAAATTTTGCCCAAAATTATTTGATTAATGATTGATACTAATGATGAATCACATATGTCACCCCTTAGTTAATCGTCCAAATTCCACCCTTCATCTTTCCTCCGTTTTTTAAACTTTAAACTTTTCTCACAGTTTTTCCAAAAATCCAAAGATTTATCTTGTTTTGGGTATTTTGCAAAATCATCCCTTTTACCGCGATTTTATATCATTTCCTCCACATGAATCAAAGCAGGTACAAGAACTGCGGAAGTAAAAAACTACCCTTAACAAAAAACCAGCACGCTTCAGGTAGTCGTCACCAAATCCTCCCTTAAATTACTCAAAAAAAAAATAACGCGAATGAGGTAAACGTGTGCAAAGAAAGTAAAAGTCGTCGAGTCGTTGTCTACCTGATCTTATTCTTAATCCCAGTTAAAGACCCGTAGGGGTTGAGGGTTAAACTTTAGGAGTAATCTACTCGTAGCTCAAAATCTTTTTTTTCTTTACCTGGAAGATATAGGAAGTAGAAGACCAGGTAAGTAGGTAAGTAGGAACTACCCTTGCTACCCCTCAACCCCCTTAAGGGTAGTATTACTTCCGCATGCTGTTTGAATGCCGTTTAGCACCGGGTTGGATTGCATCACGGCAATGATACCCCGTTTACTTCCTTTTTCTTTTCTTGCTGATTTTTTCTTTGCACCCTTGAAACGTAGGTACATGTGGTATTTCGATATTTGGAGACTTTTGTCATTGCATCTGGGTGTCTGGGTAGTTGGGTAAGACGGGGATACCTTTTCTACCCTTTTTAGGTTCAAGTTGTACGAGTTTTTTGGGAGAAAAATGAAGTAAACTAAAGAGTTTGCGTTTTTTTTTCATACCCACGGTATAGAATGGATTTTTTGGGTAATTCTTGTTTGATTCAGTGGTTTTGGATTACGTGCACACGGTTGGGCATAAAAGTGGTCGAAGTTTATCAATGTAAGGAATTAAATGTTGTCATTCGAGACGATGAAAATGATGTTTGAAAAAGTTCACATGGAATTTAATATTTTTGGAATAATTTAAAAATATTTTTTTATTTTTTCATGAAAAAAAATGCAAAAATTTAAAAAATGAAAAATAAGCTAATTTGAGTAAAATAAATATAACCTAATTTAACCTAACATAACCTCACTTAAATTAACCTAACTTAACCTAACCTCTTCTAACCTAACTTTATCTAACCTAACCTTCTCCATTTTCCAATAAAAACCTAACCAAAATAAAAAATATTCACTTTTTTCAAATTTTTCACTTTTCCGCTGTTTTCCCAGTGATTTCAACGCTGGAAAATTTTAGAAGTGAGTATAGACACCTATTACCTATGCGCAGTGACCTGAAGCGCATTCCCAATGATCCCACAACATCAGAAACCACCGAAATTGTGCGATGCGCAAATGCGCGTTTACAGCACGCGGCGAAACACTCGACGCCCATTGGAATCTCGCGCAATTTGCCGAAAAACGCCGCGGCGCACCGCATCGTGCAATTCGCGCGAATCGCGCATCGCGTTTCGGAGCTCCACCTCCAAAAATCAACATGTACACATTCAACAATGTAGCTACACACACACAAAATAAAATTCTATATTTATAAAAGCAAAAAATTAAATTTTTCGGAAAATAAAATAAAATTTCAAAATTTAAGAATTACGAATTATTCACATTTTAGGTTAGTTATAACTTCGTAGACTAAAAACTTTTTTCAAAAATAAAATTTTTTTCCCAAAAAATTTTTTTTCCAAAAATTTGAAATTTTTTTAGAATAAAAGAAAAATTAAACAAACCTGATAATTAAACTGACATAAAACTTAATATTTATCTCCCATGTCCACTTAAACTAAATTCCATCTAAAAATATCAAAATACTAATTTTTTGACAAAATAATTTTCGAAAAAATAAAAAAAAACTCCAATAAAAACCAAGTTCCTATCAACTTTTGCGTGAAAAAGACGGAAAATATTCCCGAATGTGTTGCCCGAGGAAGTACGCAGTACAATACGAATGAGGAGTTTTAATAAACCCAGGGTTACCACCACTCCCAGTCCACCAACCGCCCGAGTAGTCCTCGGGAGGCAGGCGGAGAGCGATTCTCCCGTCGCAGCAACTTCGGAACTTCACCAGCGTCAGTCGGTCGTCGAGCTGCCCGTGGAGCGTTTCGAGCCGCTCGCGCACGCACACGAGTCGCGCAAGACGCAAATTTCGACTTATTTACAACTCTAAATTACCACAAACAACAACAACGACCATAGGACTCTTCTCACGTTCATTTCCCTAGTTGTAATACAGATTAAAACACTCGCAGTGCTGTACAATTCAAGTGATCACAGTGCCCCAGTGCGTATAGTTTAATAATTCAAGTGTAAAGTGATAAACTTTTATTCCAAGGACACAGGAACAAGGAACATTACCACTGGAGTTATCACAAGGTGAATATTTTTAACTTAAATCATTTTATTACCGATTTTTATTCATTTTTTGGCGAAATAAAAGAAAACAAAATCCCGCATTGTGTTCAATATTCAATAGTTTTATAGGAGATTGTGCGCTCAATTAAAATTGTAATTTATTGAAACTTCCTCATTGTAGTACCGCATTAATTATGCATCCAACAAAAGGCACTAAAACCACTTGAATAATATCTCGAAATTAAAATAATGCAAATCACAAAATAAATTAATTACTTACACGGACTTATCGATTTGCAGCGTGTGACTCTTTGCCCCCTTCGCGAAAAATCTTGGTGTTTTTAATTAAATCACGCACACGAGGCGCAAATTAATTTCGGATGCGATTTTTTTTGTAATAATTAAAACAATAGCTAATTATTGCGCTACGTCGATGTAAATTCAATATTTTATGCTATGGGTGTTATGTGGAAAGTGTAATGTTTAAACGGATTACTATATTATTATTTATTGTCGATTGCGTGCGTATTTATTGCATTTTGTTTGATTTTCTGCGACGTTGGCGATTTCGGCGCGGCACGCAATGTATGTCAACGGATTTTTATGATTACTCAACGTGCATGGCGTGTTACAATTCGATATTGTTAATACTCGGCAGTATTAACTAATCGTGGATAGTTTGCAAAAAATTTGATGCGTTTTGAGGCATTTTCATAGGTGTTATAAAGTTTTTTAAGAAAAAATGAAGTTTTATTACTTTTTTAATTAAAACCGTGATAATTGAGAAACTACTGATAATAATTAGGTAAAAATTTGTATACATATGAAAGGGTTTATTGTTTATGTGTGTGGCAAATTTCATGTGAATTGGTTGATTAGTTTTATTGTTATTAATAATTAAAGATATTGATTTGGAAAAAAATTACAAATATTTCTTTTTTCTTTTTTACATTCGAATAACTTTTAAACTACTAGTGACATTTGTTTCAAAATTGCAACATTTATTAATAAACTAATTAAGAATTGTTTTATGTTGATTTCGTAAAAGTTATTAAAATAGTCTGGGTGTTCCACGAAAAAAACTAAATGATTTCAATTTTTAATTTTATTAAAACTTTTTTTTTTAAATTGTTAATAACTTTTAAAGTAATTAATTAATATTTACCAAATTCACCAAATATGTATACAATGTGATTAAGAATATTTGTCGCAAATTTTATTAAAATCTACCAAATATTTTTTGTTTTATTTGAATTAAACTGAACAAAATTTTTGCGAAAAAATCATTTCTGACTTTTAAATGTTTGTAACTTGGTAAATATTAAATCCAACCAATTCAAAATCTCACACCATATAAATAATCTTATACTAAACAAATCCTACAAAAATTATAAACTTTCCTTTATTACTTTTCTTATAATCCACGAAAGAAACAAATATTGAAACAATCGCGCCTGTAATTGTTTAATGATCATTTTCCTGCGAGAAAAGCACTAATTAAACACTGTTTGCACATATTGCGTATGTACGTAAACTTGTAACAACAGCTCGCTGAAAGTTTCGGCGCGTTTCGTCGTCTTTTATGGCAGCAAACTTGGCGGCGCGGTTAGAAGTCGCGGAAAGCGCGCGCCGAACAAATTTGTTTTACAAAGTCGGAAAAGCGCTCCGCCACAAAGCAGCGAATAATTTTACTACTGTTTATCCACCGAGAATATCAGCACCCAAGTATATTTTTCACTTTTGTGTACTTAAGCTACTTTTTCCAGCGAAAACATGATTTTATTTTTGTCGCTAAAGAATAAAAAGCAAACGTCAATTCATTTTTATATAAATTTTTCGAAAATAAATTCAAAAAGTATTCAACTTGTGATTGATGATAGAGTGGCTAGCGGCAATAATCCACATCTACATAACTTCGGTTTTCTTTCACGTCGCATCCTTTTTTACGTCTGGCTCAAATTAATATTTCAATATTTCTTAACAAAGTAAAGAAGGCGCACCACCGATATATTAATGCGTATGCACCGACGTCTCGGATCGACGAAAAAGGTTGAAAAAAACGCGATGAGATATGAAAAGAGTTGAAGACGTTCCACTCCTTCTTCAGCTTCGTCTGTGGCTGTGGATGCGGCGATGCGTTCGGAACCCTATGGCCTGATTAATGATGCATTCAACAATGCCACAACATGGCACGGCCCGTGACCCGACAACAACCAGAGCTGCCCATGCGGTCGACGGGATGAACAGCATTTTTATACAAATCCCAGCTAAATGAAAATCATTTCATTTCACTTGCTGTGGGTACGGATGAAGTATTAAAGTTTAATTTACAGAAATTCAAAGGGTTGCTTTGAAGGGCGATTACTCAAAATCTATCCATGCGATTTATAGAAAAATTTACACGTTTATCAAGAGGGTTGTCAACTGTTACCTGATTTAATTTTAAAGTGATTAATTTATTTTGAAAACCGTTTTCCTGAAAAATCGTGAGAAACCTTTTTTAACTTTCTAATCTATGAAATTGTTATATTAATTGCTTCTAATTAGTAGAAAACGTGGTGGATTGTATTGAAATTTTGCAAATGTGTTGTTTATTAGTTATTTTATATATAAACAAAATGTGGATATTATGCGACAAGTAGTTTTTGCGTTATAATTGTTTAAAGTTGATTTATAATATTTTCAAAATTGAAACTCTGTCAAAATTTTTTAATTTGATAATTGTCGCATAAAATCTACAAAAATTACTTTAAAGCGATGAAAAATCGTGGACATACAGCTATTAATATTGTTTATATGTTTATAGAATATGCAAATAATCGTAGTTATAGTTTCATAGTTACAATCAAATAAAATTGACCAAGAATAAAGAATATTTGACTACGTTTTTTCGATTGGAACGATAAATAATTATTTATAACTCGTGGAATATTAATTGAAATTAATTAAGATTTTGAATATAGCTTTTTAATTAGTTTATATATACTTATGCAAAATTTGAATAAAATATGTTTAGTAGTTTTGCAGTTATACCTAGTTAAAGTTGATTAATCATTTTTAAAAATTTTTCATTTTAGACAAATTGTTTTTTCTTCTATATTTTCTTATAAAATCGTCAAAACTTATTTTACATGCATTAAATTTTAAATATTTGAAGATAATAATATATTAAATGAATATACTGAATTTGATTAAAATTGATCAAATAGTTTTACTGTTATTATCAATCAAAGTAAACAATTATTCAATTTTCTTCAATAACGATTTTTTTAATAAAATTCGTCGTAATTACAACAAATTAATCTTTACACCCTTAAAATTACCCATGTAGATAGTTGATGAACACATTTACGCATGTATAAAATTTGAATAAAATATCTTAACTAGTTTGGGTGTTACAAGCTGTCAAAGTCGTGTTATCACCGAATTAATGTCCGTAATTTATCAACGCGTGTAAATTATGTAAAAAGTATAAAAAATCTAAATCGATTTGCATAAATCAGCGATAATCTCGCGCTCCGGCTCGCAACAACTTAATTATATAGGTGATACAGATTTACGCAATTTAACGAACACCGAACGGTAAAAAGCGTGCGTCGACATTAATAATAATTTTATTTCATTTCGAATTTTGAAATCGGCGTTTGTTAATAATACCTCTCGACAACAACAAGAGCAGATAGAAAACAGAAGTCAACGTCGAAAAAAGCCCATCGGCTAATAAGTTATAGTTTGTAGTTGAAACACACATTTTTGGTTCAGTTTCGGCGTTTGGTCCACGGCAATAAACTAGTTTTCTACTACACGCCGAAAATTTTTGATTAAAATAAATTATAGACGCTCTCTGCGCTCGCGCACACAGCTTAAAACATCTCGCAGTCTAAGATGATTAATATTCCAGATGTTGCTGGTGTATGTGTGTATGTGTGTTGCGTAGTTCGGTTCAACTTTTTTTCGAGTTTTACGGTTTTTTGTTCGCTGTGTGTTGGTTTTAATGCGTTTAATGATTTTTATGATTTGTAACGATTCCGAACGCGTGGAAAGATCAATGAACGAGCTTCGAACGATGTGTTTTTATGTTGTTTTCGGGTGTTTTGGGCCGCTGTGGAATGTCATCTCTCAGTGTGTGTGTTCGTTTTGACCGAGATTGAGATTTTTATGCGATTTTAAGAGGACTTTTCAAACGCGCGTTTAATGTGTTAATTTGTCGTTGCGACACGAGACTTTGGCCAACAAATTGGTGAATAACTCCAAAGATATTGATCACAACTAGTTTAACTTTGGTAGATGTTTAAAGTGACTAATTGGGAACATTTCGAGAAAATTTTAAACATTTTTATCGATTAGTTTAGGTTTTATCACTGAAAATATGTAATAAATTACAATTGGTGCGAAAATAAAAATATGTTTTTAGTAAATTATTAATTACTCGAAAACTATTAGCACTATAGTAACAAATCTTTGATATAATATTCTTAATTAAATTATACATCTACTCACGAAATGAATATTTTGATATCATTATTGCAAAAAAGTTATAAACAATTAAAATTTGAATTGAAAAAATTTCCAACTTTAAGAAAACAAGTCGATAACAATTGATAAAAAACACTTATCAATAAAATATTTTATATTTATAAAGAGTAATTAACCCTCTATAGAATTCCAAAGAAATAATAATAATAAATTTAATAGTTTTTGAGTTATTTATAAATAACTATAATAAAAGCAGGATAATAAAAGCTTTCGTCTGTCGCCGCGACATTTAAATTATATTATTAATTAATTTAAATCAATGCAGATTTTTTTATTGCGTCTCTTGTCTTTTGTTTCAAGTGGAACACGCTCAGCTTATTAAAACAGCATGAACCGTTTCGAATGCGAAACGCGAATGCAAATCGTGCGTTTATGCATTTTCTAAGCGACAGCGCCGCCATTATTTTCATAAATTCCATATTCCACATCGCGCTATAATAATAATAATAATAATAACAATATGATAGGTCGGCCATATTTGCGCGGCGCGCATATATTTCATTTATATACGCGTGCGTGTATAAATAAAATTCAATTGTTTCCTTGACTTTAATTGAAATTCATAAATAAACTTGCAATGGCAAAAAAATAATCACCGGCTAAAAATTGAAGCTCTCCGATTTTACTTTAACGTCATTAATTTTTATGTGATATTATGGATGTTTTTAATCGCGTCACTCGGGCTGCGTTTGTTTGATTGCCGGCGCGAAGGGAACGAGGCGTGTAAACGAGCAACAAGTAGTCGCCGGATTGTTTTTTGCGCATTCCGCGCATACGCAAAGCTCTAAGCTCGCTGCGCATGCGTGGTGAGAAGAAGACGCCATCAAGCGCGTTTATTACCGCATTATTATTACCGTGCTGGGTGAGTTTGAAGAGTTGCGGAACAAATGAGGCGACGTGCACGCGTTTTACGCCATCTAGTGATCTCTTGGTGTGGGTTAGTTTTTTTTCGTTTGTTGAAATTATTTTATTCTTGCTGCGTTATTTATTATTTACTGTTTATCGCCGACGGAATTATTATTTATTTCGTAAGCTGTCATTTGTTTTATGATTGCTCGGGTGCGCATCGACGTTTAATATCGCTCGTAAATAATGAACTTTTATGTCAGCATAACTCACGCGCGAAGGGAAGAACATGGCGGATGGTAAAATATCACTAAAAATTAATATGCCTAGAAAATAGTTTTTGTATTTTTAAATTATGGTTGAGGTAATTATTATACTCATTTTATTTTATTCCAAGTTTTAGTTTTTTTTCCTAAAAATTTTTGGATTTTTTTTTCAAAATTAAATTACGTCTATACTATAATAATTAGCAAACAATTTCACTAAAATAAAAGTATTGCAATTAACTAAACTTTATATTACCAAAATATAAAAAATAATAACTTTTTTTTTTCATTTTGCAAAAAATTTTTCCCAAAAAATTTTTTTTAAATCAAATTCTGCCAAAACTACTGACAATACAAGAAAATTTTACTAAAATAAATTGTTTGTAATAATCTAAGCTATATATTCCGCTTTTTAAATATTAAAAACAAAAAGTTTTAGTTTTTTTCCCAAATTTTTTTGGATTTTTTTTTTCAAAACTAAATTACGCCTGAACTATTATAATTATCAAAAAATTTCACTAAAATAAAAATATTGTAATTAACTAAACTTCATATTACCAAAATATTAAAAATAATCATCATTTTTTTAATTTTGCAAAAAATTTTTCCCAAAAAAAAAAAAGAAATTAAAAATCAAATTCTGCCAAAACTACAATCAATACAAGAAAATTTTACTAAAATAAATTGTTTGTAATATTTCAAACTATACAATCCGCTTTTTAAATATTAAAAATATGAAGTTTTATTTTTCACCCCCTTTTGGGGGTGAGTCCACACGTGATTATTATCCGCTGGCGATCGTAATGATAAATTTCTTTCGTTTTGAATCAATTTTTTGTGTTCTTTGTGTCTGTGTGTCTCACAATAAAAAAAATAATCATATAAAAGTATGGCGTATGCAAATGAGAATAATTTTGGGGTGTGTTCGAAGCACATAGCACATGGCCTATTGGAATATGCAAATTTTGCTTCTTTTATCCCTCTTATCGTCCACCCCTTTTGCTGCCATCTCCGATACGGATTCTTAAAAAATAAAACACTAAAAAACCACCCAAAGGGTGCCAGTCGAATCGCAGAGGGTAGTTTTTCGTAATTCTCTACCCTTGCCGAAAACAGCGCTTTGTTCGAGATGTTTGACGCCATTTTTAATATTACTCATTTCGGTTTTTAACTCGTGTGAGATTTGCTTTGAGCTTTTGTGTGTGTCAAGTTTTACGATAGTGGCGACGAGCAGCATAACAATTGCAATTATGATCGTTGGCGTTTGCATACGATTTTTTCGTTAATGAATAATGAGCGTATCCTTGCACCCCTCAGTTTTTATTTGCATTTTGTGAACCGCCGTGGGCTATGTGGATGCATCATGCGTCGTTGTCTGATGTGTGCGGAATATGTGAGAGCGTAAAATATAAAAAGTTAGCCAAGGTCGTAAATCATTTTTCATTTTTCGTTGATGCGTTTGTTCGTGCTCCTTGGAGCTGCGAGCTTGGAAAGCTTTCCAGAGGCTGGGAGTGAAAAGGGTTCATTTGCATAAATGTGTAATACGTTCAGACAAGTACAGACTTGACCAAAAATATAGTATTTCTGGTTTTAAAAAATATATTAAAAAAATATAATAATTTGCTAAAATGTATTTTAATTGTTTTTTTAATTGCAGGAATGATTGAATGTTGGGTGTAATGGCAACTGTCACTACCGGTCTCTTGTCGCCGAATTCCTATGGGCTAAATACAGGTAAGAAAAAAATTGCAAAAAATTTAAAATTTTAGAAAAAATTTTTGAATTTTCAAAACTATTTACAAAACTAAATTATATAATCCAAAGTCATTATATTTAGGATAATTTCTTTAGTTTTCTTAAATAATTTATTAAAAATTACTTTTTTAAATTTTTCAAATTTTTGAAAATTTTGAAATTCCAAAACCATTTAACAGCTAAACTAAAGATAATTTGATAAAATTTTTTTTAAATATTATCTTTGGAATAAAGTAAACTACGAATGCGATTGAAAAAAATCTATTTTTCAAATTTTTTAAAAAGTTTTCAAAAATTTGTAAAATTTTTAAAACTTTTATAAGACAAAAATATACGAGATAGAACAATATTTTTCAGTTAATAATTTAGCAGACATGCAATTAATCAAATTCAATTTATTTTAATTTTTTTTTAATTTGAAAATTTTCAAATTTTCAAACATCTTCTACATTAATAAATTTTTCAAATAATTCACTAAATGAATCATTTATAATATGAAATGGTTCTTCTTCTTGAGAATTTCGATTTGTTGAAATATTTTTGTCTTCAAGATATTCCTTCATCTTCTCTAATCTTTTCAACATTCTATTCTTGACAATAACAATCCTTGCACATTTTATAAACTTATTCAGTGTTCTATACCGTTTTATCCATGCATCTATGATGAGTTTGTGTTTTGGTTCTTTAACATCATTTTGTACAATTTTCTCAGAGATTTCTTCCTCTTCTTCATTGATTTGCATAGAATTTTCTGATTCAGTATCCTGTCCCAAGTTATTCGCAATTATTGCAGGACGAAGTATCCTTGTTCTTGTTTTAGTTCCTCTTACACAACAAATCGGTAATTCATCTTCATAAGGAATAAAATCAAATGACATTTCTTTATCCGTCTCGATATCAAGTTTACTCCCATTTGAAATGAGGACCTTTTCGTTTTTCTGCCGATAAATCTCACAACATTTAATAAACTGTTGTCTTTTCATATTATACTGCTTTAAGGACTCATCACGATATAATCCTGATGGTAGTCGAATGTCATTTGAAGGTCGTTCGGTGATTTGTTTTGCTAGAATCGCTTTATTCACTTCGTGCTGATTTAAAGGACGAGATATTTGTCTAGACATTATTTAAATGATTTTTTGTGTTTATTACAGAACAAGCGGTCAAAATGGCCGCCACGTCAGACGAGTACGACGATAATCCGTACGATGGCGCACGTTTCACCGCGTCACAATCCAGCGACTCAGAGCCGGACACCAGTGCCACCTGTTACCGCCTCGCCACACCAACCGAAACAGTACCCGCTAACAACAAGCGCAACAAACGGAAAAACTTCGAACCGCGCTGCACGAACATAACCTTCTCAGACGCGGAAAACGAAGACACTCTACACCTAGCAATTAATAACAATAATAATAAAAACAGACGGAAAACAACCGCGCGTAAAATTATACATAATCCACAACAGAGTAATTTCTATCCGATGGATTTGACGAAAAACGAGAGCGAATCTCAGAGCGACGGTAGTAATTCAGATGATGCTGATGAAGAGTCGCCAAGTCGCCATTTTGATAGCTTTCACACCCAAGACAACGAAAATGAACATGAAAATGAAAACAATGAAGATAATGAGGAGGAAAACTCGAATTCGGGTGAAGATACCGATGATAAACCAGCGAATAATTTTTCCATACATAACTTATCAAAGAGTTCGACAACGCCGGACTTTCAACAGTTGGCGGCGGCGGCTGCGGCAGCTAGTTATCATGCGCAGCATGCGTTGTTGAATGCTGCCGCGAATGGAGGCGTTGCGAATGGCCCAGGTGTGGATATGCGGGAGTATGCTATGAATACCATGCGTGAGTTGTTGGGGATTTACGGACTTACATCGGAAGTTGCTGAGAGTATCACGCGACAGTTGCCTATCGCTGCGTTTACTTCAGGTGAGCAAAAAAAGATTTTTTTTAGAAAAAATTAAATTGCGGCTGAATAAGGATATATATTGAAAAATGTTACTAAAATAAATTATTTGTATTTAATTCGTCTAGCGGAAAAAAATATTTTGAATTTAAAAAAATTAAGTTTTGGAAAATTTTGATTTTTTTGCAAAAAATTTTTGCAAATCAAATTATGCATAAACTACTCATTTTATAAAAAAAATTTACTTAAATAAATTGTTTGGTTTTTTCTAATTTATAGATTAGAATTTAAAAAAAAAATTTGAAAAAAAAATTTTTTGGGAAAATTTTTTGAAAAAAAAAAATTAAAATTTTGAAAAAAGTGATTTTTGGTTAAAAAAAATTCACAAAATTAATTTTTTTCAATTTACAAATCAAAAAACATCACTTTCTGATTTGAAAAAAAATTTAAATTCATAAACATTAAACATAAAAAATAGAAATCTGTAATTTCTCGTCGGTAAACAATGATGGCGTCGATGCGCGCACTTTCTCAAGGTTTTTTCTCTCTCAAAGTAATCATAATCACAAGCATAAAGTTATTTTGAAGATATTCGTAATACTTTTCCTGCCGAAATATTATTCCTCAACGGTGAGTTGTGACTTTGTCGAGTGGCCCGCACCGAAAATAATTACATTTATCAACAAACCGACGCGTCCGTTGTGTTGACACAACGAATTCAACTAATTCTTGCCTAAACACTATCCATGAAGAAAAAAATAACTTATACATAACTCAGCCGAGTTTCAAAGTTAAAACTCAATTGCTTATAACTTAACTTAAGTCCTAGCAGTGGTGTTCAGTTGACTTAACCTAACTTCTCGCCAGCATCTTGAGTTATTCGATGTAAAAATGTATAATTTTGTTTTTTGACGTGACTTCGGTTTAGTAGAAAAATCTTAAACATCTTAAAATGCTTAAATAAACACCGCATGCGCGTCAGCAACAACTGAGTTCGCTTTTTTTATTGATTCAAGTGTTTCTCTCACCATTTTGTTTACCGATCGCTTGTTGCTGTGCTGGTGTTCGTTCGAAATATGAATTTAAACTTTTTTTAGCTTTTGACAGCAATAAAAAACACTAATCATCATAATCAAATTATTGCATACGGAAAACATGACTTAAGTTAAGTCATGCTTTTAAAATATTAGAAAATGAAAAATATTTTTTTTGTGACTTAAGTGTTGTTGATTTAAGTCATTTGAGAGGCATAATTGCGTGTGAAAACTATTCATACTCGAGAAGTGAACTTAAGTAGCGTCATATTTTTTTGTTTTTTCAATTTACTTAAAACTAAAACGAAAACTTGACTTAAGCGTTCGTAAATGTTTAGCGCACGCATAGAAACATTGAATACAAAGCCATATTTTCGGGTAATTAACAGAGTGAGGAAGCTCGCATCGTGCAGCGAGAAAAATCGTGACTAAGCACTCGCGTAATTAGTCGAAAGTAATTAATTTTGAAATTTTTTACATTTGTTATCGGTTAACAATCTTGAAAAACCCAAAAATTAAAAAATTAAAATTTAGCTTTTTATACAGAGCGTAGGTATATTTATAAAAATAAAAATAAAATTTATTTTAACACTCTGTATATTATATCGTGTTATGTAAATGAACACATGTTGCACATGTTCTATTTTCTTAATTTTTTTGTTCAATTTTTTTCGTGTGTGTGTGTAATATGTAACATTTGTTGGATTTGTTTCTCTCTCGACGAGAGAAGAGAATAAATGGAACATTCGGACAGAAACAAATGTGCTCGAACGCCATGCGCATTCTTGAACGGCGCGCGCGCGGCAAGACAAAAGCTCATAGACAACGCAAACGCCAAAAACTCAAATGAGCTTTTCGTGTAATTTTGAGCGAAAAGCGCATGGGGTTATTATTATACCTACGCGGAATTAATTTTCATGATGTTTTGCTTATACTCGTTAAAATGAAACTAAATTTTTTAGTTTTTTGTCAATTACTCGTAAACAAATTGCGTTATCATCATTATTTTTTCATATACTTATTCTGGGGTTAATTGAGTATCTATTTTGATATTAATATTGGTTGGTATTGTTTTAGGTGTAGAATTATAAGGAAAAATAATACAGTTTTTTTTAAATTTAAGTTAATTTTTTGTTTATTTTAAGAACGAAATGAGTTATAATGATCATTTTTTCAGAAATATTTGAGTTATAAAATTATGTATCATATCTAAGCAAGAATGCTTTATAATTTGCTTTATATACAGAGTAATTCAGAAAAAAACAAAAAAATTTCAAACGATTTCTTATTTTAGTAATAACTTTTTAATTACGTTATCAATTACAATAATTTTTTATTGATAATATGTAGAATTTAACTGCGAATAATTTACACTTTCAACAATAATTATACCTCTACCCGTTTTCGAGTAATTCATCAAAAACTAAGAAAAACCATGAAAAAATAATTCGAAATTTTCTGTTTACTTTTATTTCTTTTTCTTTTTTTGTAAGGAATTTCGATTTAAACTTGAATTTTAAAAAGTATGCAGACATATTCTTCATCATCTTCGTCTTCGACTTCGCCTTCATCTTAATTTTCATCTTCATCATAAGCTCCTTCTTCTTTTTTCGACTTTATTTTTGATTCGGTTATGTAGTTGCTTGTTTTCTCGGGCTCCCAAGCGCGGTAAAGAGGCTGGAAGGAGCGAAGGATGACGAGGGAGGAGAGCATATCTCGAGATTTATTAAAACCGATGACTCGACGTTTTACACAATCGACAATCAACACGAAATCGAGAAATGCTCCAACTCCTTTCAATTTAAATAACAAAAATGAACGAGAGAAAAAAAAAACGCATAAAAATCAGAGATTCATCAAATAAAACACGATACATTTTATAATTAATGATAGTAGACGTATACAGGTAGTTAATTTGTAATTTGTCACATCATTGTCTTATAGAATAATAATTTTTATCGTGTTTTTTTTCTTTTGTTTTGAAAATGAAACATTGGAATAATTAGAATTATTCTTTTATTTCGAGTTTTCTGTTGTGTTGTGTATTTGTATGCGTATGGAAATAAAGAAAACTAATGAAAAATTATTAATGAATGCACGGCATTGACGGATTGATGAATCGTCCTTGCGAGCGCGCGCCACGTGGCGCGCAATCCTTTTTCACAACCGGACACAATAGCACTCCGCACCCCATGTCGCGACACAACAACGCAAACAACACGAAAAAATTCATTTCAATTTCAATCTATATCCACTAAGTCAATTTTTCATTTCACACAGCATAAGAAATTAGAATATTAGTAATTAATCATCGGCTTAATCAGTCGCTTTGTACATAACCTATAATTTTAATATTTTAATTAAAACCGAGACATAAATTTCGACTTTTTTCGAGAACATCCCCGATTAAATAATGATCTATAGGATGAAAAAGAACACGAAACTAAAAATGGGTTTAACGCTCTCACAATTCATCCTCGGCTGAAGAATAATGCCCCAAAGGCATTATACTCATTCCAATGAAATGAAAAATGAGTTTTAACCAGATAAAAACCGAAAAATATTCGAGTTTTAAAAATGCTTCATCAATAGAACTATAATTATTTATTTCGTTTTTGTTTGCAGGTCAAATGTTGGAAAGTTTATCACTGCATCAACTAGGCAACCAACAACACACGCAGCCATTACAACAGCAGCAACAGAATGCCTCGGGTAGTCAAACCCCGCCAAGTCAGCCACCCACACCACCCTCAACACCGTTATCACCGAAAACCCCTTCGGCATCGTCGATCTCCTCCGTATCACATCTTTCGCACTTGAGTAACTTGGCGTCCAGTTTGAATAATTCCGTTAATAACATTCCAAACATCCCTAGCTCTATCCCGAATATTCCTAATGTTACTATCACTACCAGTGCGGGTAATACACCCTCTCCGTTGAATTTGATGTCTGTGAAAAAGAATCGAAGAATATTATCAGTGGAGGCGGCGGTGGTGGTAGTAGTGCTGGTGGAAGCAACAGGTTCCTCACAGGGGCTGTTACACCGACCAATGGTAATACAAGTACTCCACTCGGGGGCGGCGGTGGTGTTGGTGCGCATTCGTCGCTTTCACCCCAATCGGCTGCGTTGAATCTGTCTAACCTATCGAGTTTATCCAATCTGACTGCGTTATCACAGCTACCCGGATTGGAGTATTCGTATAATCAACTGGAACAACTCGAAGCGTTGCGAAATCGTACTATTATGGAGGAAAATCATAAACATCTTATGAATTCACGAGTAAGTAGAATGTTTTGGTGTGTTTTGGGTTGCATATTTAAAATTTTAGGTTAATAGGTGCTTATAACTTCTTAAGTATCGATTCGAATTAAATGAAATTATTATCAATGGTAGAATGATAAATTCTACGCGTATTTACGTTTAGTTTGTTTAAATATTCCAATTTGATCAGAAGTTATCCTGTGTTAAAGTTGTCGAAATATTTTTGATGATTTATCAAGTTTAACATTGAATAACTTTTGATAGGGTTGAAATATTTTAATGGTTCAAAGTTTATATGACGCAGAATTTAATATTTTATGACCTGTCTTAATTTAATACTAATTGCATTGGCCAATAATTAATAATTTAACTTTTAAGTAGAAAAATCAAAAATTAATTTAAAAAAAATATTTTGGTCACTTTAACACTGATAATTCCTTGATATATGAGAATATTTTAACAAATTAAACGTAATAATGCCAGAAAATAAACACCTAATGAAAATTCACGTGTAAGTACTTTGGTGTATATTGGGTTGCTGGTTTATAACCTCCTAAAATGCACATCACGTCGTTTCCGGTTGGTTATTTAGACAACACGAATATTAATTCTCTATCGAAACATTCCAACGTTGAATTTCTAACGATTTCCATTCGTTTTTGTTGCTTTCATAACACGCATATCAAAAACAATTGAAAATCAAGCGTGAAACAAATATAATTTGTTTATAATTACAAACAAATTTTTTTCACATTAATTATTAGATTTATTGTTTGTTTAATTTCGTATTTTTCTAATCTAAACCGAGTTAATTCACGAAACCGTTACTCACATTTAATTTCGGCTCTTCATTTGTTTTTTTTGTTGTTAATTTTTGGTGGCGATAATTGCGTTTTTTTCTAAATCCAACTCACCGGGCGATAATTACAAACATCATTATAATTTATTCTCGGCTTCTGCCTCCATTTGTTATTTTTTCTTCTTCTTCTGACTGTTTATTACACACTGAGTGCTGTATTTTATATTTACATTCCTTCAACTTGGAGTTTGAGGCGTAATTAGAATTAAAATTACGATTACAATTACGTTTTGGGTTGTATGCCTTTATTTTGGCGGTTTGGTGTTATAATTATGCGAAAATTCGGTGTGAAATCGAAGTTTTGTGATTGTGACTCAACGTTGAAAACAAACAAACAAAACGAAAACGAACAAAAGAAAACCAAAATGAGGAAACGATGGAATATAAAGCAGTCGAAAATTATAAATGTACCAAGTAATTACCACCTGCGTGCGTCAATTAAAGACTAGGTTTTAAATGACTCGCTACTTTTTTTTCTAAGATTTCTCATTAACGCTTAGTTTTTATGCTTTTATTATATTTTAGTTTAATTTAGATTAATAACTGTAAAAAATATTACATTTAGTTCAAATTCCATGAAATTTGTTCTGCATTTAAGAAATATGAAGTTTAACAATAAATAACGTTTGATAGGGTTGAAATATCTTAATGGTTCAAAGTTTATTTGACGCAGAATTTAATATTTTATAGTTGTGTTTAAATTGATAATAATTGCATTTGTCAGTAATTAATTATTTTATTTTTAAATATTTTTTAATATCAAAAATAGTTTTAAAAATATTTAGGCTACTTTAACACAAGATAACTTCTGATTAGAGAAGAATATTTAAACAGACTAAATGTAAATATGCGTAGAATTTATTATTCTACCAATGATGATAGTTTCTTTGCATTTAAATTTGTTGTTAATTATTTATAAGCTTTTAAAGTGCTTACAGAAAATTTTACATTTTTTACAAAACAGTTATTTCAACACCTTATAAATTCTTCCAGGGCAAAACAATCAAAAAGCATTTAAACACATATTGACTACAATATATCTGTCTACATCCTTGCCAAATTTCAACATGATACCTCTATAAACAAAAAAGTTACAACACTTTTAAAACAATAACTCTTTCCAGGGTATATTTCCACACCTATTAAATTACAGCAGCATGAAATCAGAGGATGGCAGCCCACCGCCATCTTTCGACACGACTAGTCCACTAAATGGTAAGTGTTTATAACCTACAATATTTTTCGCATGTTGTACACTTCATACTTTATCGCCCACTATTTTTTTAATAAGTTAAACGTAAAAATAAAATAAAACAAAATACGATTGGCGTGAACAAGTGTGAATGCATGCGTATGAAGATAAAAATGCTCCCATTTAATCAACGTAATTTATTTAATTCATTTAATTGTGTTTAATGCGCCGCAATTGTTTCGACTTTCCTGTGATTTCAGTACGCGCGCGTTGCTCTGAAAAAAACATTTGTTTCCTCATTAACGACAAACTCGGGCGTTCAATTGATTTTAATGTTCACGCACACATACACACGCATGATACACATATGCGCGTGGCGTGATTTCATTTTTTTCAATTATCTCATACGAAAGAAACGGATATGCTGGTCAAAGTTAAATTAAGCACGAATTAAATTTAAACTCGAGGAGTTAAACAGATTTCATATGCGTGTGCATAGAGAGGAGAATTTTTTGTTTTGAATAGATTCGAACAATTTGTGTGTGGAGTTTCGAGCTTTTGGAAGCTTTTCTCGTGGTGCGGTAATTAACGACAAAAATAGGCGCGCAGTGTGCGAATTCGCTCTTTGCGTTTGTTCTCGCCGGTGTGCGCGCATTTATAATTAAACGTTCGTTCGGGAATTTTTCGTTTTCGGTGCGCAGCGCCAAAAATTTGACATTTTGCGGCGCGCGCTTGCAGTTTGGCGCTGCCGCTGCGAGCTTTTCTATTTCCGCGACAAACGCGCCAGAAAGATATCGCTCAGACGGCGCATCGCGCAAATAAATCTAATAAATCGCAAATTGTCTCCGGGGCTATAGCTAGGCGAGCCTAGAGCGTTTGTTGTGTGCGCGGATCTCTAGAGAAACTGGTTGGAAATAGATGAGCGATGCACAGTGCACATCTACTGGATGTTTGCTTTACAAATTGTGTCAGAATTTATTTCCTCGTACAAATTTGCATATAACTTTGTTGTTAATGGAGATTTTTGAAATTTTTAAAAAGAGGCTTCAAGAGTGTTTAATTGACTATCAATATACCAAATTACAGTTATCTAGCTTATAGGAGTAATTAATTATGACGATTTTAAGAAAATTTGTTTTTTTATCAATAAAAAGTTTGGGTTGTAACAAAAATCGCTGTAACTCAGGTTCGGGTTGGATTTTTTTCAAAATTTAAAATTTATTCCATTCTGTATTAAATATATAGGCAGTGTACAAAATTTGAAGTAATTCGTTTTGCACATTAATTAGTTATTATAGTGTAAAATATTAATTACCAAAACGAAGTGAATTTTTGAACATAAAAATTTACTCAATTTTAACAAAAGATAACTCATTAACCAAATGGAATATTTCAACAAACTAAAGTGCATTTGACGTATAATTTAATCATTTATCAAGGGTACAAATTTTGTTTATATTGATTGCGTCAATAATTTATTATGAAATTTTTAACAACTTAATGAAAAATTTCAATTTTTTCTTGGATTTTATTTCAACACCCTATAAATTAATTGTTAACAACTTAATCAAAAAACACAAAAACACGTGTCAAATAAAATTTTATTCTTTACAAAACCTCCAAATTTTAACCTTGTAACTTTATAAACAAAAAAGTTACAGTACTTTAAAAACTTGTTGATTTTTCTGCGAGTTTTTGCCTCATTCGTAGCACTCAGTGCGCTAGAAAAGAATGCAATCGCGGAATTCGACATTCGACGCACATTAGCCTGCCAAAAAAATAGTCGCAATGCGTGTTCCGATGATCGGCCGCAAATAAGAAAGAGGAAAGCAGCGAAAATGTCATCGCGACCGAAATAACAAATACCGATCCGATCGCGAATCGCATGCGTTCACGAATGTCGCAATAAAACACCACATCACCGGAGGACGACTGACATCCGTGTATAAATATATATGTGTGTGTGACGAGTTGTTTTTTAATTTTATTTTATTTCTGGACGAGCGTGCGGCGCGCGAGCAGCAATTACCATAATCACGTCAATTGACGGCAATGAAAGCAATGAAAATCTCTCTCCAAAGACGGACCTGTACACAACACACACAAACACACATCGGTTATGTTTTTATTTAGCGCTGTGTGCGTGCTGTTTGTGAGAGAGGGTCTTCTCACGACAATTGCCAGCCAATTTATTTCAATTTATACAAATTTTATAAAGCGAGCGGTGGAAGGAGGAAAACCCATTTTACGAGAGAATCACATTACTATTATTGTTATTAACGGGCAGCGCAGCGCAGCGAGTTGAATTGTGTGTTTGTCGCGTTGTGTGTTAACGATAAAACGGAATTCGTTTAATTCGACTTGATTCAACTTGATTCGGCTCGATTTACGCGCACGTACATGCTCATACACACGCACATGCGCATGGCGATGGAAGGATAAACGAACTCAATTCCACTCAATTTATTCATAAAATGTCATCAAACGTTGAGGCATTGAATGCGACCGAGTGGAGTTGCAGTCATTTGTCATTCGTAAATAAATTTATTTTCAATATTTCATTACAACCAAATAGAAAACTTTAAATAACTCGGCTTTACGGACAGACAGAGTGATGAAATAAAAACACTTTTGTTAAGGATTTAATTGTCTAGTATTTTTAGAATCAGTAAATCAATTAGAAATATTTTGAAGGGTTGTTATAGGCATTTAAACTAAAATTAGTAATATTTTTTAATGAAAACGAAAATTACAAAAAAAGCTCTTATAACTTTTTTGTTTATAAAGAGATTTTGTTGATATTAAAGGATGTTATAAACAATTAAATTCTATGGAGACATGTTTCGAGCCCATTCGAAAATTTTGAGTATGAAGAAAGTTATTCACTCTTAAACTTAGATTTCTGTTTTTGTGATTTTTTTACGTTTTTAAAGTCAATGACAAACAAATCATCCCGCAGTTTAGTTATTTCTGAAAGAATAATAATGAATTGAGAATATGTTGTAGTGCGTTAAATTTACAACAAATTTATGCAAGTTTGGCTGTAATATTCTTACTATTACTTAAGTTATCAGCCCTTAAACTTGAATTAAAATGAAATTGTATTTATTACACATATTTTATAAAAGCTCTCATAACTTTGTTGGTTATTATTTGATTGTTTTCAAATTAAAATATGTTATTAACAATTAAATTTAATGAGGTACGTATTTTTACCCCGTTGCAAAATATTTATTAATAACAAAATTATTGGCTCTTAAAGTTTACAAATTTTTATTTTCATATATTGGCGAATGTTACATGTCTGCAACCATAAAACCTCTTGTAACTTTTTTATTTATAAACAAATTTCTATAAAATTGTAATATGTTATAAAGGATTAAATTTAAGCAGGACATATTTTTACCCCATGTCAAAATTCGTACCCCAAGCGAAATGATAACCCTTTAAACGCGTTCCTCTGTTATTATTAAAAAATCGCGTTTTTTAATCTTTAAACTGAAAAAAACTGAATGATTTTGAAAGGGTTAAAGTAATATAAAGCTTACAATCGTTCACAATCGGTAAGTTTGCATTATTAGTACAGCGTGTGCGTTCAAATAGGGTGGCGGGCACACTGCGTGCCTCTGTGCCTCTTTTCACCCTTTCTTCGCGTTTTTATTTTTATTTCAATCGTCGCTTCCTCTCTTTTATAATTCGGGGGTCATGTGTGTGTGTTTCACTCCTCCCAGCTCGAAATAAAATTCATCCTCAGCCGGTTTTCGAATTTAATTTCGCTTCGAAATCCCCCTTTCGGATTCAAATTTAAATCCGAATCCCATATTAAATTAAAATCGTAATAAAAGTGAAGAAGGAAAAAAACTAACATCTGCTTACATATAAATGTTTATTGTGTGTGTACGTATGTGTAATATTTTTTTATATTTCAATTTATTTCTTGATGAATGCGTGCGTGTGCGTTGCGTGAAAAGAAAGACGCACAAAGACGATGAATATGATGAATATATTCCTGAATCAAGCGAAGAAAACGTTGCAGAGACGAGGAATAAATTCCGAATTATATTCATGTTAATTTATACGAGCCGAATGCTTTTAATGCGACACATACGCATTTAAACACGTACTCACATGCCATACAATTGCTTACAACTTACATGTATATACGAAATAAAAGTTTAAAGGGCTGTAAGTCGGTGGGGAGTGAATATTTTAAGTTGAGGTAAAAATACGTCCATGTTTAAATTTCATTGTTTATAACATATTATAATTTGACAATACTTGTTTATAAACAAAAAGTTACAAGAGGTTTTATTAGTTGTTACTTTTTTTAATCATCGCTGAAGCATGAAAAATTAATTTTCAATTTTAATGGTGAATATCTCCTTTTCGGTTAGAAATTTTCGAAGGGAGTAAAAACACGTCCGAGTTGAAATTTAATTGTCTATAACATATTATAATTTGGTATTAATATGCTTATAAACAAAAAAGATACAAGGGGTTTTATGCATTCCGGATTTTTTTGAAATAAATATGTTCAATGCAACTTTAAGGGTTGATAATTAGGTTTGTGATAAAAATATCATCACACGGTGAAAATACGTCTATATTAAAATTTAATTGTTTATAACATATTAAAATTTGATAATAATTCGTTTACAAAGAAAAAAGTTACAAGAGGTTTTATTAGTTGACAACTTTGAAGTCAACGCGGAAGCATCTATAAATCATCTTCAACTTTAAGAGTTAATAACTCTGGTTTGGTTTTAAATTTTGAACGGGGTAAAAATACGCCCTAGGTGAAATTTAGTTGTCTATAACATATCATAATTCAGTATAAATATATTTATAAACAAAAAAGTTACAAGGGGTTTATGAAAACCAATTTTTTTAACAAAATATTTACAAAGTAACTTTAAGGGTTGATAAGAACAGTTTCTGATAAGAATATTACCACGTGTTCAAAATACGTCTATGTTTAAATTTAATTGTTTATAACATATTCAATGTTAAAGATCTTTTCTCA